CTCGCTGGAAGGGTCTGCTCGTCTGCTGGACAAGCGGCCTCGGAGCTTCACTCTATGGCAGTCCTACAGGTCCTTCAGGCCAAACTTCTCCAGAATTTGGACGAGTCCTGACCGGACCCCGCAGCTTTCAAGGAGCTGCGCAGCGCGATCGACCTGGCTTTGCGCGCCACGAAGATGATGGCTAAGGCGATCGGCAGATCCATGACCAGCCTTGTGGTGCTTGAGCGCCACCTATGGTTGACCCTCACGGAGATCAAGGATGCGGATAAGGTCCCCTTCCTCGACTCCCGTCTTCCCCTCTGGCCTGTTTGGACCTGCGGTGGAAGGGTTCGCTGAGCACTTCACCGCTGCGCAGAAGACGAACCAGGCAATGCGACACTTCTTGCCAAAGCGCTCCAGTTCTACAGCTGCTGCCAGTCGCCCCAAGACGACACCGACTCAGCAGCCTGCGAAGCCCGCATCATCGGCTGCACCGTCATCCTCTAACCCTGAGCCCCGACATCGCTCTCGCTCGGCCAGACGCTATCCATTCCCTAAGCACCAGGGACCCCGGCCCAAGGTAGTACTGGATCCGGCGCCTCAGGCGTCAACCTGATCTGTGGGACAGGAAGAGGAGGGGGCAAAGTCTCGCCATCGCCGGACCACCCCACAAGCAGCCTCTGTTGTGCCTCCAAGCACCCCGTTCACTTCCGGGTGCTGACGGCAATGTGTTTGTGGTAAATACTGTTGTGAACCCTGGGCCCGTTCAGTTAGCGCCCACACAACCGATCTCTGTTATAGCGAGAAAAATAAAACAAACATTTTCAAAAAGAGAGCAAATTTCCTCTTCCGCCTATCACGAGTGTTGGGTCCCTGCAAGGCGGCCTGTCGCTCGAACCAACCCAATCCCTTGCCACACGGGCCGAGGCCTGGCAGGCCATCCTCGGAGTGTCAAAATGGGTTCTGGGGATAATAAAACGAGGCTAATCACTTCAATTCGCTCGAAAACCCCCGCGATTTAGAGCCGTGGTCTCCACATTGGTTCAGAGTCCTGTACGCCGAGGTGATGAATTTGCTGGCGAAAGGAGCCATAGAAACGGTACAGCCGATACTTCCTCGTCCCCAAAAAGGATGGCGGCCTAAGGCCCATCCTCGATCTCAGGCACCTGAACCGCGCCCTCATGAGACGGTCGTTCAGGATGATTACATTGAAGCAGATCCTCTCGTAAGTGTGCCCAGGGGACTGGTTCTTTTCGCTGGATCTCAAAGATGCCTACTTCCACATCCAGATAGCCCCCCACCACAGGTGATTCTTTAGATTCGCCTTCGAAGGAGTGGCATATCAATACACGGTCCTTCCCTTTGGACTGTCCCTGCCTCCTCGCACTTTTACGAAGTGCATGGATGCGGCTCTTTCCCCACTGAAACGTCATCCTGACCCAGTCAGAGTACGAGCTATTATCTCTCAGAACCTTCCTCCTCAGCCACTTAGAATGCCTGGGACTCGGGGTCAATTTTGCCAAGAGCGCGCTGTCCCCCAGCCAACGGATATCGTTCCTGGGAACAGTTCTCGACTCAGCCCGAATGAGGGCGATAATCGCACCAGATCGTGCACTGGCTATTCAGCAGCTCATTCAAAGTTGGAGCACCTCGCCCTCTCAAGGCATTTCAGAAGATGTTGGGCCTCATGGCCTCTGCGTCTCCGGTACTTCAGCTAGGCCTGCTTCGCATACGGCCCCTTCAGTACTGGCTGAAACCACGGGTTCCGTCCCACGCCTGGCGTCATGGACGCATGCGTGTCAAGGTGAACCGGGCCTGCGTAGCAGCTCTGGCCCCTTGGAAAGACTCTCAGTGGA